GGCCGACTGATGGTGATTGATGAGCTGTATAGGGAATATTTGGCGTACGTGTGAGCGTTACGTGTGAGTCGTCGACGAAGGAGGAAAGGACACGTCGGTGGGTGATGTGACCCCAAATTCGTCATATCAGTGACTAGTAAGGAGAGGGAATCTTTACTGTGCTTTTTGATGTGACTCCAAATTAGTCACGTCGTCCTTTATATTAGGAAAGAATCTTTGTACTATTGCACTGTCTAGTCATGGTCGGATAAAGAGCATCTTTTCTTATTGTGCTTTTGTCATTTTGTGCAGAAGGATAAGAGGGAATCTGTCGTTTTATGCAGAAGGATAAGATGCAGGAGGATAAGAGAGAATCTTTTGCATAAGGCTTGAGTAGACTGTATCGGGCCAGCTGTCGAAAGGAATCGAACTGTCGGGTCGGGTTATTCTGTGGGTTTCTGGCTAAAATCTTCCAGTAGGGGATTTCCGGATTGGACTGTCTCTTCTGAGGTTGCTGGCCTAGTGGTGTCAGGAGCAAAGACATGTAACAGTGTTTGCTCTATTTCTTCGATTGTAGCATTGGGATGTGACTGTTTCAGCTTTTTGAGATAGGTTGAAAAGGTAGGAAGACTCACAGTATTATTTGACACTGGTTTGAGAGGTTCAGTTGGAGGGGGTATTCGTTTTAACGGCAATGTGGCAGGATTAGTGCTAAAAATGTCCCACCATTTAACTTTCACTGTTTTACCTAATTGGGGAATATATGTATAGTTGTTTGTATTATTTTCAGAGATAGAGTATTCCCATTTGAGAATCCAAGGGATTTGATAGATTGCCATAAGATAGAGATGGTAATCATCTAGGTCAGTACAAGCATTATATTCAGCAAATTTGGTTGTAGAGCTTGAAAGGTATCTGGCAATATTTGGGTTAAAGATCCCCATATTAAAAACCAGTGGCGAAACCAGCTGGGGAATCGTTCTAAAATAGGAAGTTTGAACTGGACATACCGGGAGTGCGTATTATTTGGATTTTGGTAGGCAAATACTTTATGCCATGCTTCAATGTATTCACTATATTTATAAGATTTGTATGGAAATTCTGGATTGAGAAGCCTTTTACCTTGGATGGGATTACATCCCCAATCTTCATAGGAAAGCAATTTTTTGATTTGAATTTTGGAATATGCATATAATTTGGTATTTCCTTGGTAGAAGTGAACTATGGAAGCTGAACCAGTTTCCATGAGAATAGCTTCATACCATTCGCGAGTCTTAATACCATAGGATGAATTCATGTGATTTGACAAGTAGAGGGGAGCTATTTTATATGGGTCAAGTTCAGCATGATCATCAGAAATGATGACTTCTGGTAAAAAGGCGGTATCAATATAAATGGATTTGGCAGAGTTTGAGTTTTGTTTATGTGGGTATGATGCCGGGGAAAATGCCGGGCTTGGAGTGGATAATGGACTTTGGGGAGGAGTCTGTATAAGATATTCTGGTACATTTGTAGATCTAAGAGGTGACATTGGTGTTAGGTCAAGAGAGGAATGGTTGGGCATAAGAAGCCCATACCTATTGCTTAGGATGAGATCCATTGGCTGTTTTCCTTTGGAAGGATGAGGATTCATAGTTGTATTATTATTCTTATTTGAGTGAAAGAGTTGCAAACCGTATGAGGAGAATCCGTAAGATGAAATGGTATCGTCTTTAGGTTGTAGGATATGGTCCCCCTTGCAAAAATTCACGGGTTAAGAAATCAGGCAGAGAATTAGAAGAACCGTGAAGATGTTCAATAGAAAAATCGAAAGCAGATAAGATAGCTTGCCATCGAGCAAAGATTTGTTTTGAGACAAGGTTTTGGACATCTTTTTGCAGAATGTCTTTGGCTGCTTTGCAGTCAGTACGAATTAAAAAATGTTGATTAAGAATATCAGTTTGAAATTTGCATACACAATGAATAATAGCAAGTAATTCTTTTTTAACAGTAGAGTAATTCTTTTAGGTAGGATTCCAAGCTTTAGAAGTAAAGCGTATTAATTGTTCTTTAGAATCGATGGATTGTTTTAATATTCCT